GAAAGACTCATCAAATACCACATGTCTGGAGATATAGACTTTGCCTGTGATGGGATCAAGACACCTATAACCTTTGATGGAAGGTTGATAACCAAGAAAGACACAAGGAAGAGATCTAGGTTGAAGTTTATTAGTGGTGTATGGTTTGAGCCAAGGATAGCATCTACAGCCAAAGGATCTCAAGAACATATAATTAGGTTTATGTTTGAATAAGACCTCATAGGGAGTAAGATTTTTAAGCTTGAGAGTAGGATGTCTATTAATCAAATAGACAGCTGTTGCAAGAGCATCAAACCAGTAAATCAAAGGTAGAGAAGAATGATGCATGAGGGTAATAGTAGTTTCAATGAGGTGCCTATGTTTCCTTTCAGCTACACCATTTTGTGAAGGTGTATGTGGACAAGTTAATTCATCAATGAAAAGCACATAGTACTTAAAACCTGAAACAGAAGAAGCAAAAGGGCCCCAAACATCTGTATGGATAAGAGCTAATGGTTTATTTACAGTGGAATTAGACAAATGAAAAGGCATCCGATGGCTCTTTGAAACACAACAATGTTCACACAAACTAGAGCCTTTATTGGACAAAACATTAGAACCTAGATTATTATGAGAAAGAATATGATGAAGCTTCTTAGAGGAAGGATGACCAAGTCTGAAATGCCAATTAGGTGTTCCTGTAGGTGATGAAGAACAAGAGAAACAAGCTTGAGAAGAGGAAGATGCAGCAGATGGAAATGCAGCAGGAGAGGATGCACCAGAAGGAGAAGCACTGAATGGATAAAGACCATTTGTGTAGCTTCCTTTATACAAGATTTTCTGAGTAATCTTGTCCTGAATAACAAAAGAGTTGTCATCAAAAGTGATAGTGCAGTGATTATCTCTGGCTAACTGATGAACAGAGAGCAAATTGGATGAAAGTGTAGGTACATGAAGTAGCTTTGTAAGATGAAAAGGAAAAGAAGGAGTAGGAAGAAGACCTGGTCCAGTATGAGCAATGGTATGTGTAGAACCATCACCAACTGCAACTTGATCTTGACCATAATATGGCTGAGGGAAAGAGAGCTGACTTAGATCAGGTGTCATATGACTAGTGGCTCCGGAGTCAAGATACCAGTTCACAGGTTGTGACTGAGTTGAGGATGATGCAACATAGGCTTTTGACTGAGGCTCTGTAGAGACAGACTGCTGAAAGGCTGTGTCTAATCTGTACCAACAGTCTAGAGCAGTGTGATTTGGCTTTCCACAAATTTGACAGATCACATTGGCAGAATTAGTATTGGCAGCAGCAACAGCTTGAGGACTGTAAGAGTAGTTAGAGCTGAATCTGCCAGCTTGAGGACTATAAGTAGAGTTGAATCTGCCTCTTGAATACTGTGAGCCTCTCATCTGTCCTCTAGACCTACCTCCATCTCTGCCTCTGTAAGAACCACCTCTACTTCTATAAAAACCTCTAGTACTGCCTCGATTAGAATAATTTCCTCTGTGTGCAGTATAAGCAATGGAGCTGGGAAGGTCTGAGGCATGTGCATGCTTAAGAGAGGATTCCACATGAACAGACTCTGAACAGAGTAAAGAACACAACTGATCTAGGGAAATATGATCTGATCTTGTGCGGATAGCAGTTTTTGTAGCATTATATTCCTCAGGCAAGCCATTTAAAATCAACAGAACTAAATCTTCATCATCAATAGGAGATGATGCAAGAGCAAGCTGATTAGACAATACCTTGAATTGATTCAGGTATTCTTCCATTGTTGTCCCTTTCTTAACAATCTTACTCAACTTGATCTTCAACTGATGTATGTGAGATCTAGACAGTGAAGTAAATCGATTGGCAAGAACAGTCCAAACTTCATGACTGGTTTTACATTGAATAACAGTAGTGAAGATGGATGGAGACAAAGTTGCAGTGATGCAACTTAACAAATGAGCATCAATAGTGGTCCATAGTTCATGATTTGGATTCGGAATTGCAAGATTATTAGAAGAATCTAGAATCATTGCAGGAGGACATACCTCTGATCCATCTACATAGCCAAGAAGTTTTGTAGCTTTCAAGATGTTTTGTAACTGATTCTTCCAAATTATGTAATTGGATGAATCAAGCTTGGCAGAAACAAAAGAACTCAGATTAGAAATCAATAATGTGAGATTTGAAGGTAAGGCTGATGAAGGAATTGCAGATGTTGTTGCAGGTGGTGCAGGTGTGATGTTTGAAGAAGTCATAGCTGAAGCTTTGCAGCTTTCTTGCTCGTAAGAGCCTAAGGCTCTGATACCATAAAGAGAATGAATATACTTTGTATTGAATGAATACAATTGGTACAGGATGAAGTCATATTTATACACTTCAATGACTCTTAACCATAACTACCTAACCATACTAAACCATAGTTGTTCACAGGCTTTTGTTGCTTCCTCTCATCCAGCTTCTTCTACTTCAGCCCCTTGGTATCTCGACTCTGCAGCTACTGAGCATATCACACCTGATTTGCATAATCTCACTTCTTCTCATCCTTATCACGGATCTGATCAAATAACAGTCGGTGATGGTAGTACCATTCCTATTCATCACACTGGTAATGGCTTACTTCCTACACCGCATTTCTCCTTCCGATTGAACAATGTTTTACATACTCCTTCTATCTCCTCTAATCTTGTTTCTGTTCACAAATTAGCCAAAGATAATAACTGTTCTATTACCTTTGATGATTCTACATTTGTGATTCAGGACAAGGTTTCGAAGAAAGTTCTTCATCAAGGTTCTAATATCAATGGCCTATACCATTTTAATCCATCTCTTTCTGCTGCTGCCATCTCACCACCTATGTTGCATGCTCATCTCAGTTCTTCTCATGCTACTGTACCTGTTTCTCCTTCTGTTTGGCATAATAGATTAGGCCATCCATCTGTAATAAAGTTGAATCATCTCATGCCTTACTTGTCTTGTTCTAAGTCTGTTCATCAGTCTGCTACTTTTGATTGTACTGACTGTTGTATAGCTAAGAGTCATAAGCTACCTTTTCATCTGTCCACTTCTACTGTAAATGCACCACTTTCCCTCATCCATAGTGATGTTTGGGGCCCATTTGCTTCTAGTTTTGGTTACAAGTATTATGTTTTGTTTGTTGATGATTTTAGTCGCTTTACTTGGCTTTATCCTTTGGCTTATAAGAGTGAAGTTTGTGCTAAATTCATGGAGTTTAAGGCTTATGTTGAAAATCAGTTTGCCACTACTTTACATATTTTACGAACTGATGGAGGCTCAGAATATTTTACATCCAAAATGAACACATATTTAACTACTCATGGAATTATTCATCAACATTCTTGTCCCTATACTCCCTCTCAGAATGGTATTGCTGAGAGGAAGCACCGCCATATCACTGAGACTGCTACAGCTCTTCTCCATCATTCTTCTGTTCCTTTGCACTACTGGTTTGATGCCATCGCTATTGCTACTTTTCTGATTAACAGACTTCCATCCTCCAAACTTACTCACAAGTCTCCTTTTGAAGTGCTTTTTAAATCCATACCAGATTTTTCCTATTTTAAAACTTTTGGCTGCCAATGCTTTCCTTGGCTCAAACCTTATCAGTCTACTAAACTTCAACCCAAATCTCTGGCATGTGTCTTTATTGGCTACCATCCTTTTGCTAAGGGCTACCGGTGTCTTGATCCTAAATCAGGCAAAGTTTATCTTTCTCGACATGTTGTTTTTCATGAGAATATTTTTCCCTTTGCTTCCTCCTCTTCACCTGCTCCTTCTCTTCCTCATTTACATTGTTTTTTCTGGCCTTCCTCCTCACCTTCCCTTTCTTCTTCTCACATTTCTCCAGAGCAGCCCCAGGTCCATGTTCCACAGTCTACTTCTCAGCTCCATCAATCCCACTCTGCTTCACCGACTCAGCAGCATTCCTCTCAGATTTCAGCCCACAATCTGCCGGCCCAGCCTCAGAATCAGCAGGTTCCAAATCTGCATTCTCCGAATCAACAATCTGCACAAACTCAGCCCCATGCACAGACTCAGAATTTCTTTCAACATGCTCATACTCAGTCGCCGCATCAGCTTCAGCAGGCACAGAAACAGCCACCTGCACAGACTCAGCTTCAGCAGGCACAGAAACAGCCACCTGCACAGCCTCAGAATTTCTTTCGACATGCCCATACTCAGTCGCAGCATCAGCTTCAACAGGCACAGACACAGCCACCTGCACAGACTCCGCCCCATTTATCTCAACATCCTCATATCCATCCTCAGTCACAGTTTCCACATACTCAGACCCAGCATCAGTCTTCCTCTCAGTCACAGCATCAGCACCATTTATCTCAGCCTGTTCATCCTCAGACACAAAATCAGATTATTCAGACACAAAATCAGCCTTCCTCTGATTCTCTTCCTTTTGTTTCTTCTTCCATTCCTATTCACTCCATTGCCATTCAACTACCTTCTTTACCTTTGACTTCCTCTAATATCCATCCTATGACCACTCGATCCAACTCTGGTGCATTACCTCATTGTTTAACCACAACTACAACTCTGTTTTTCGATTCTGAACCACCTTCCTACAAGGAAGCCTTACTTTCATCCATCTGGCATAAGGCTATGCTTGACGAGTTTACTGCCTTGCAAAAAAAAAACACTTGGTCCTTAGTGTCTCTTCCACCTACTAAACATGCTATTGGGTGTAAATGGGTCTTCAAGGTGAAAAGAAACTCCGATGGATCTATTGCCCGGTATAAAGCTCGTTTAGTAGCCAAAGGGTACTTACAACAAGAAGGACTGGATTTTCATGACACCTTTAGTCCCGTTGCTAAGCAACCTACTATTCGAATTTTGCTTTGCCTTGCTCTTTCTCATAACTGGTCTCTTAACCAGTTGGATATTTCCAATGCCTTCCTTCATGGCATTCTTGATAAAGAAGTTTTTATGCTTCAACCTCCAGGGTTTGTAGATACTTCCTTCCCTTCTCATGTTTGCAAACTTCACAAAGCACTATATGGTCTCAAACAAGCTCCCCTGGCATGGTATTCCACCTTTTCTACCTTCTTACTTTCCCAAGGGGTTTGTCAATAGTAAATGTGATTCCTCCCTCTTCATTCACAGAACTTCTACCTCAGTTACGTACTTACTCATCTATGTTGATGACATCTTACTTACTGGAAATAATTTTGTCCATATTCAGCAACTTATCACTCATATGCATAATGCCTTTTCTATGAAGGAATTAGGGAACATTTCCTATTTTCTTGGTATCTCTGTTCAGTCTACCAATCCCGGTTATTTTTTGTCTCAGCAAAAATATGCCAAGGACATCCTCTTGAAAGCCGGTCTTTCTGCTTGTAAACCTTGTTCATCTCCTATATCTGTCAAGCCTCACACTCCTCCAAATGCTTCTCTTCCATTTGATAACCCTGCTCTTTATCGGAGTCTTGTTGGAGCCTTACAATATCTTACCATCACTCGACCTGATCTCTCTTTGGCTGTTAATCAAGCATGTCAGCACATGCATGCTCCTACAGTGGGTCACTTTGCTGCAGTTAAAAGGATTCTGAGATTTGTGCAGGGTACTCTCTCTCATGGGTTGTACTATACTCCCAGTTCTTTTGATCTTCATGGTTTTTCAGATGCCAATTGGGCTGGTGATATTCATGATAGAAAATCTATCTCCGGTTATTGTGTGTTTTTGGGAGATAATCTAGTGTCTTGGTCTGCCAAGAAACAGGCCACTGTATCCCGCTCATCAACCGAGGCAGAGTATCGTGCTTTAGCACATACTGCTGCTGAGCTTAGTTGGATTATAATGTTGCTCACTGAAATGGGTATCTCTTCTCCAACCATACCTGTGCTTTGGTGTGATAATCTGTCTGCCATGGCTTTGGCTTCCAATCCCGTATTTCATTCTCGCTCAAAGCATATCGAAATCGATTGTCATTTTGTGCGCGATAAAATTTTGGCTAAGCAGTTTGTTGTCCAATACATTCCTACTGTTGATCAACTAGCTGATTTGTTTACCAAGCCCTTGTCTGTTTCAAGATTTCAGTACCTCAAGGACAAGCTAATGGTCTTTGAGCAGCCCATCAGCTTGCAGGGGACTGTTGAGACTACTAAGCCAACTGTCAACTGAGCCAATACAGCCACAGTTGCAGAAGCACACCCTTTCAGCTCAATTCACACTTCAACCACAAGCCACGCCACCTTTCAGCCACAGTTATCAAAACAGTTATGCAGTCCACATGTGGCAGTTGTAACTAGCTTGTAATATGCAAATTCTGTTAGGCTGTTAGAGATTCTAGAATACTCTGCATTAGACCTCTATATATAGATACATTGTAAGTATGAAATGTAAGCTTTCAATAAATGAAATATCTCTGTTTTTCATAATTTTCTTGAGAAAGTAGAAGAGGGTAAACATAACCATTAAGTCTGAAATTCCATATCTTAAAAACACAGAAATTATCCCAGATCAACGGAAATCTAAACCAAAGCACAACTATTTTATTCGATTCAAAGGGCCATAGCAAAAATGATTTGGGCTATTTTATTTGAGTGTCAAAAATGATTTGGGCTGTAGTGTAGGAGTCCAGTTAACAGTATTGCATATTCTACATAACAATGAATAGAACACCATACAGAGTTCACAAATATTATCATTTAATTTTCATAAATTCAACTACGATGAGGGCACATAAAATTGTTTTGTGGTCACCAATCCCCATCAACTCTTATCAATTTTATCTTTTCATGAATCAATTGTAAAAGTTCAAATTAAAATTGAGATGTTCAATAATATGCTTCACAGACATGATGAACTAGCATTATGCCATGAATCATGATAACTCTTACCTTGTGTTTGGTTTATTGGAATAAGTTGGAATGGAATGATCATTCATCAGCATATTCACATTTGATTCACTAAATAAATTATAAAAAAATATATATTGCAAGTGGAATCATCATTTGTCATTGTAAGGCAATGGTCATTCAATAAGGAGACTAAGGAATGACCATTCCATTTCAATCCATCTTCATTCCAATGAACCAAACACTCCCTTAGGGGGACAAAAATTTAACCATTAATGACAAGCACTTGGCATGTTCCCAAATCCTAGTTGATGTTGTAAACTTTCCATCCTTCATACTGTCAACTGATTTCCATGCATCAATTATCAATCTAAGATTGAAAAAATAACACTAGAGGAGCATATAGCAAAGAATTCAAGAATATTTTTTAATGTTCAACAAATAAATGCTAATTTCTGATTCCACACTTGATAGTGCAAAACTGTAGGGGTTCTTCCATTTTTAGAGAAAGTTAACTTCCAACAAAAAGATAATGAATATTTGCCTTTATGTCAAATCCAACTCTAAATTTTGTGCAGAACCAATGGGAAAAAAACCCTTTTTAATTTTTCCAAGCAAACCTTTACAATCTATTTCACCGACTAGAAGCCAAATCTATACAAATATACTTATTACCCCCCAAGCCCCCAGCTAACATAAGAGGATCCCATTATTATGCCTACTGTATAACAGACATAGTAGAAAGGTAAATTCACAAACATTGTACTAGCACTTAAACTCATAGATATAGTAAATTCACTTAAACTCATAAATATAGTAAATTCTTATTACAAAAGTAACAATTCATCACCAATAACATATATCTTTACTCTTCAATCCTCACAAGTTCAAACTGAAATATCCATAAAAAGATCTCAATCCTTTAATTCCTAAGAAGAGAACCAAATTCTAGGAGGCATTTTAGGAGTTTTCCAGCAAAATATGAAGGCATTTTAGGATTAGATGATGCAAATCTAACCTCATGTCTGATCCCCAAGGATTATAGGAGTGACTCCTACAACATTCTTCTTTTCTCTTCTTTCCTATAGTTTCTCCACTTCTAAGCATTTAAAGTACCATGCAAAATCTGGTTAGCCTCTTCGCTACCCTTTCAAATCCTATTTCCATAACCTAATTCTTGGCCTACAGTTATTCAACCCTAGCACCAAAGGAGAACTAACCAGTCCCTTTTGTTCACAGCCCAAAACAGCACTCAAAACCTTTGTTTGAACATTTCATTACACCCCAAACCCTTATCCCTTCATATACCATCAGAAATCCTTAAATCTCTATAGTGTTTTGACCAACATTAGCCACCAAAACTTCTTGTCATCAGTCCTGAAAAAGTGACCTAGGTTTGTTTCATTGCTTGGAGGATGTTCTTCGTAGTTTCCTTACATCTATGTAATTCCATTTTTAACCTTAACAGTCCAACCCAGTAGATCCTATTAACAGTTTTGTATCTAGTGACTACCAGTAAGAGCAAAAAGAAGAAAGAATGATGAATAGGAAATGACTTATACCATATAGAATAATACAACCATTAATCTTCTCTTCTTCTTTTTTAATTTCTAAATGTATATTATAAATTCTTCCAGTTCTTCAACAGATTATCAGCCTGTCGTTCTGTATACATTTCAACAAGAAATTTGCAAAATCCATTGTATTATCAGCTGATTCTGCTCCAGTTTGAGCTATACTAAACTAGATTTGTTAAGAGTTTGTAACTAAACATGGAATCTAATGCCCTCACCAGTATACCAGAAAAATCAATTGGTAAAAGTTAAAGCATGAATCTTATAAGGCAATAACTCAGGTTAAGAATTTGTTAAGAGTTACGTATAAACAGAATTATACAACCAAATTTATATATACACACAAACAGATTTTATATATACAAACAGATTTTAAATCATACATACTACAGATTTATATATACACACTATGTATACACACCAACACAAATAGAGAAAACACCATTCCAAACCAATCCAATAAAAATCATATTAAAACAGAATGAATAACTACTAAAAAGCAGAGTCACAGCTAAGAATCAAATCCATTTCATGTTAATTTGACCTGCACATACAAAGATATTGAGAAAATAGAAGAACCCATCTGGATTTGTGTCTTCTGAGAGATACCCAGATGGTGTTCTGGACTGAGAGAGGCATTGTTTCAAACTGCTTCTGAGCCATCGTAGTTACGAAAAAAAGCATAAATTCAACAATGAATCAAAATACAAAAAAGAAAACATTCACTTCAAAATCTGGGGTGACGAAAAAATGAGTGAAGATATGCAAATGGAAGAAGAAAACCCTAGAAGAAGAAACCCCATCGATTTGGGGTCAAGTATGTGTGAACGTATGCAAATGGAAGAAGAAAACCCTAGAGGCTGAAATTAGGGAAAGAAGAGAGACCGAAAGATAGAGAGAGGGAAAAATAGAGAGAGGACATACCTGGGGCAATGCTCCAATGGTGGATTGACGGTGGTGCTCGTGTGAGATGGCCGTAATGCTCCCGCACCCGACGACGATGGAGACAAAAGCGAGAGAGAGAGCTGGAGGAGGGTAGAGGCGTGAGAGAGTGAGAAAGAGAGAGAGAGAGAGAGAGAGAGAGTCACAGAGTGAGACACAGACAACGTATGAGCTAGGAAGCACGGATACGGATACGGATACGGGATACGGATAGGGATACAATACGATACGGCGATACGACAAAATTTGAAAAACTAAGATACAGGTACGGCGGGGATACGTTCGTAAAAAATATTATTTTAACAATTTTTAGTAATGCAGTATGCATAAAAATAAAATTTATTGCAAAAGACAACTTGATAAAGAAGAAAGATTCCTACAAAACTAAGAGTCTTCAAGGTCAATAGGTTCAACTTGTTCCCCTTCATCAGTGAATATCACAAGACCTTAGCTAAAGCCAAAGCCAAAAAATCATTCTTAAATGAAAATTTCAGCAAATATACTTTTTTAAATCATCAATGATAGCCTAGGAAGCACGGATACGAATATGGTGATATGGGGATGTGAATATGGCGATATGTCAAAATTTGAAAAAGTATGATACGGGTACAGCGGGGATACATTCATAATTTTTTTTTTTTTGTGATTTTAATAATGTAATATGCATGAAAATAAAACTTAAAGTAAATTAATAAATAAAGAGAGGGATTCCTATTAACCTAAAAGTACTTAAACATTCATAAAACATCCAAAACTAAAAGCAAAAGCAAATGCAAATGCAAATGCAAATTAAACATCATCTTTACATGCCAACACCAAAAAAAGAATGAGAGCAGAGAGAAGAAACTTGAGAGAGTGAGAAAGCGAGAGAGAAGTGAGAGAGACAACAAGGATACATCAATTTGACAAATTCTATTACTTAAGCTCTCACTATATTCCTCTTATGAAAGAACTAAACAAAATATTATAAGTAATATGTAATTTCGAGTTTCCGATACTTCAAAATTAAGTATCCGATACTTCAAAATTAATAAAAAATTAATTAAGAAGTATCCGATACTTTTAAGAAGTATCCAATACGTATCCGCGAGTATCCGAGGAGTATCGGTATCCGATAAGTATCCGATACAGATACGTCACCCTTTTTGAAGTATCCGTGCTTCATAGCGTATGAGAGAGTTTGAGCATGTGGAAGTGTATTTTTTTAACCTAGTTTATTTTCTTTCCTGACCAATTTTTGTAGTCGCCAATACTAATAAGACGTTTTTCCCGACCACTGACTTTAGTAGCCATTTGATATTCCCTCAAAAATCTGAAGTCTAATTTTAAATTTTTTTAATTATAATTGCCGACTAAAATTTAGTTGCTAAAAGTAATTAATACCGACTAAATTACTTTTAGTAGCTAAAAATTATACATTTAGGGACCAAAAATTTTTTAGTCACGTATAGGGTAACTTTTTAGCGACTAAGTCATTTTTAGTCGCCAATTGAATCACTTTTTAGCTACTAATTGTATTTTAGTCGCTGATTGGGTCCTTTTTTAGCTACTAATTGTGTTTTAGTCGCCTATTTGTCTATTTGTAGCGACTAACTGTTTTTTAGTCGCTGATTGGGTCTTTTTTTAGCTACTAATTGTATTTTAGTGGCCTATTTGGCTATTTTTAGCGACTAACTATTTTTTAGTCGCTAATTGGGTCCTTTTTTAGCTACTAATTGTATTTTAGTCGCCAACAAGTAATATATGGCTACTAAAAAATTTTAGTAGCTAAAATATGGAACATTGCCGACCAATTCAAATTTTAGTC